TTTTCTGTTTAGAAATGATTTATCAAAGCTATAGTCATGCGGGAAAGAACAGTTTCCAATTCATAATTACCGTTTTCGGCAGCGGTACAAGGATCCTTAATGATAAATCTTTCTTAATTGCTTCCCCAAAAACCGTTTAAGTAGCGATACTATTGCCTAGTATGTCTCAATCACGTTTATTGTCGAACAGAACTTTGATTAGTTGGTGAAACTTGTGTCAGACTCGTTTGGGAAATTTTACACTAAAATATACTAAATCAAACAGGCATCTATTGACTTCCGCGTTGAATTTGCAAGTTTCTATCTGAATACCCTCTGAACCAGTTAACCGTTTTTGAAGTATCGTCTTATCCTAGAAAAATAAAAATAAAATTAATAAATATAATTACCTGAGTTGAAATTGAACATCTATGTTTTGTTTTGTTATTAACATCGGACTGCCTGGCGCAAAGGAAATTTACAAATTCAATGTTCAGCTCAATCGTGCTCTTTGAATGCGTAAATTCTAGTTGGCATCATAGAAGTATGAAAACCAACTATGTACAATGCATTGTCACGCAGTGGTAAAAGAATGCCATGTTATTTGCATGTGAATATGATTGTTTAGAAATATTGTTTAGGCTATTGGCATGAGTATAGAAATTCTCCGATCGACAATACAACATTTGGTCTCAGCTTGCTTTACCCACGATCAGCATAAGGATCGGACGTCAGAGAAGTTGGTATCTGGTTTAGCTACGTACGTCCAGGAGCTTTTACGGGTTCGTTACATCTAAAACCATATGACAAAACTACATTTGAATTAAATTAACCATGGATATATTTGAACCAACAGATGACTTCAAACTTCCTTGTAAAATTCCAAAATGAATAGTTAATTTGTCATTCGGGTCCCAAGTCTGAGAGACAGCGGTTGTCATGTTATACCTTTAGAACGTGTTACGTTAGTAAATGATTGATCTAAATTTCAAACTCGAATCGTTAGCGTCAACAGAATTTTAATGCACTAAAGCTTGAGCGCTAAGACAAAGGTGATATTAGGAGAGAATACCTTTGCTACGTAGTATAAAAACTGTCCTGTACTGTCATTAGCTTACTATCTCGAGCATTCCTCGTGCTCTCGAGATCTCGTCGTTAGTCTCGTTCTGTTTGTCCCCTCCGACTACAAAGGGTCGACGGGTCAAAACAAAAGCCGTTGGATACACGAGGTCATCCTGAGATAAGTTTTGTCAATATTTGTTTTCGACGTGTAAAAGCTGTCTAGTAGATAGGACCAGTAGAGTGTGTATTTAATCATCACGACAGATTAGTAGGGGTCTGTGACAGTCCGGGGCCCTCCCGGTACCATTCACGTCGAGGTAGCTCCACACGCGCGGAGACGCAGACATTTGATGACGTCAGAGGATGCTGTCATCTAAAACGTTGCATGTTCCCGTATCTTAACCCTGTCGAAGGTTTCCATTTTTCGTGTGTTCCTTATTCAGTAGAAGGTCCTTCTTCGGGATTTCTGTAGCAGCAAAGTGTTCATGTATTTGTGGTCTGTTTCTTACAAGAGTCAGAATTTACATTTTGTCCTAATGAAAAAGGAAGAGGAGGCGCTACAGAAAGCCAACTGAACGTACTGTATATTCATGGCCAGATTATCAAAATTAAAAACGTTTAACGCATATAATAAACCATATTTGTATGAAGGAAATGTAACATGGAAGAAGTATGAAATAAAAGACATGAACTTTTATGAAATGCATTATCCTCGTTGCTCTTTCAATACATGTCAGGCTGGCTTATAAAGTTCAATGAAAATATTAATTATATCTGCAATATGACGGTAACATATCCTTTCTAGAAGAATGTAAACATTTCCTTACTTTATTAATTGTCCATGAAGGAATTTTAACTGAATTTATAAACTGAGAGAGAGATATATCTTCAGGTATATGTGATGCATTATGTACAAGTAATTTTTTAGCTTTCTTGTTTTGTGAATATCTGTCCATTTAATTTTCTAATCATTGTGTTGTTGACTCAATGAAAACTTTTCCTTTAAATGTCTCAAAGCTAGTTTTGGTGAAAATAAGCCGTGTCAACAAATATCATACATTATTTTTCGAAGGGAAGTTAACGCTTTCTTGTCCTTGAAAAATAATGTTTTGATACATCTAAGAAATTATCGCTAACGTCGAATTTCATCTTTGGTCAAAGCTTCAGATTCTCAGGAATGTGTCAATGAACCAGCGTCCAGCTTGTCCTATCGATTAAGTTCGAGACGACGACATTAACGGGAAGGTGCTTTTGGTTGATAACTTTGCGTGACGCCAAATGGATTTGTTTTCCGGCAATATTTCTATCGCTATAAACAAAGGGCTTAGTGCGTCTCCATTGTGACGTTGTCATGTATTATACCTCCTGGCTCGAAGTATTGAGTAAGCGTTTGAAACTCGGGGGGAAAAACTGGCTTCTAACCGTGGCATTGCTGCTTGCTGATTCGGCGAGGTATAAACAATCGTTAGAGGTACCCAACGATTGTATGTCGTGAGGTTTGACTAAAGTTGCTTATTAATATATTCCATATTTTATAAACTCGGGTTGATGTATCTTTTTATGTTACCAACCAACCAACCGGCTAATCATTAATCAATCAACCAATCAACAAAACATTTTTTTTTATCAAAATATTATTTTCAAAGTTGTTTTCGCAAAGTTTAGTTTAAATTTAAACTTAAAGCTACTATCACTACGGAATTAGATTAGATTAGATATTGAGTCCGTGATATCATCAAGGATTTATAAGAATAATATACAACATTTGATATAGCGCCCTATCTAGCACACAAACCACTCTAAAGCGCTTAACAGTACATAGATATACAATTAATACAATTAGTATATACATTAATCAATACAATCTTGAAGGATTCGCAGGAGCAGGATTTCTTCATTTTTGACCAAGAAAGCCATGAAAATATTGGCTCTTGGCAATATCTCGACATGAATTGTCCATAGGGAGTATCAAATAACATAAAGGATTATGTGACAAGTTTATATAAATTCCCTTCACTGGGTGGTCCATTTACAGTTGTTCATGTGTTTTTGGTTTGATGTGTATTTTTCGTGACGGCCTATTTCCGTCACAAACCACTTTTTGATAAATTCACGACATAAGAATTTATCAAAACTCCCGAACATAGTAAATCCCGTGACAGTCTTATGTCGGACATCTATTGCCTTTCTGTTTATTACCTGGTACTGTACGACATTCTTATACGTATCCATCCTCTCATACTTCCAAATTTGATTTCTCTCTTCCCCTGCTTTCAACTCCAAAGTCCCCCCAGGACCCCAGAATGAGCTGTAAATTTATCTTTACTTAAAAATCCTACCAAAGGTTATAAATGTCTTTCTCAATACCTTACCGAGATTTAACGTACGCACAATTCAACGGAGAAATACAAATTTCCAGTAGTGTCAAAACCATGTTATTTTTGTTGTCTTCAAGAAACTGCCCAAGATTTGCACGTGCTTTGCATGGTGTGGCTGGTATTTTTCATATCCTTTCATTATAAACTCCTACCAGAGACGTTTTAATGCAAATATAACAGCTTTTTAAAACAATACCTACTGTTAAAAGTCATAGCATTAACTTTGGTAACGTTTTGAAATTCGGATTAACGGTCTTCACCCATAATAATAACTTGTGAATTTCATTTATTAATACGTGGATATCTTTTCTACCTTAAATTTTTGACCCCAGTAGGTTCATCTTTGCGAATACATGTGTTTCTTGCTTTTCGACAATTTTATAATCAAGGAAGTAGTTGATGGTTTCAAAATGTTCTCTGATGAGTGGGAAAACCATGGATATTTTTGCAGCCAACTGATCATTCCTGGTATAGGTATATAATACAAGAGGACAACAAGGCCAGCGTCGCTCACCTGGTTGTGTCAAGGCTAAATGTACAAGACAAACAATGGAAAGATTTCGCTAACTTGAGACTACGACGGCCATCCAAGATTTCTTGATGACCCGAAGAAATAAAATATTAAAACTTGGTGCAGACAATAACCGGGCTATTTGTACGAAGTTCAATTAAAGTTGATCTAGTGGAATTGAGATGAAAATATCTCAGCCAGTCTGAGGCCAAGGCGGCCATCTTGGATTTCAATTTAGCGTGGACAATGTTATACAATGAGATCTATCACTCTTTTGCTATAGGTCCTTGAGGATTGTCATTGTATTGTTGTTTATGTTTTTATTGTGCGCTCAAGTATTTTTTTGAAACAGACCTTTATAATTAGTAGCTGGACACGAAAATGAAAATTAAGCTTTGTTTGTTTGTTAGGAGTTTAACGTCCTCACAACAGCCAGGGTCATATGAATCTATTTATTCACATCGAGGTACGACGGATTTCTACGTTTGAAATAATTTGTCCCTTTGGAAGATGCAGCGTAATTTTCAATTACAAAATGCCAGTTTTGTACTATGAGTAAAGCATATAGTTGCAATCAATATATGGTTTAATCAATTTCCGATCAGGTATTTTTGACAAAGGATAACATTTGAGACTAATTTATTAAGTACTTTTCATAATGCCAAAGATTCACAAACGTTTCTTAAACTGTTTCATAGCAAAGTATTAATGGAGTTGAGAAAAATCTTGGATAAAGATTTTTTTCTTTATTTCCGTATGACTTTCCTGTGAAATATCTGAAAATAAAGGATTTTCTAAGGAACGTGCGTCAAACTTATAGGTCGATAAAACCACACAATAGCTAAGTGTGAAAGTGAATAGTTTTATCAATTTTCCATCCATTATGTATTTTATCGTTTCGGACACCTGTTAGGTTAATTTGACGTAACAAGGAAGCTATAGACGTGGACTATAAATTCACAGTTATATCATATGTATGACTTCTAATATGTCATTTTACAGAATAAGGGTAACCTGTTGAGAAAGGATAAACCATGTAAATATAACAACAAACAATTGGATAAATTGTCTAAATATCAGTTTTGTATTGAATATGTAGTACACAACGATATATGGCACAGCGAGAAAGGTAGTTGAGCTTGTGACACATCTAACATCACCTACATTTGCATAATACATGTACATGGAACTGCATGAATCAATGGAAATGAGACATTGCACTCACACCAAAAAATACCCTGTTTTACCAGCTTCCGGTTTATACCGAAAGTCACATCAATGAACACTTCCGTTTTGATTTTTTTTATATATATCCTGTCTTAACGCAATAGTTAGAACAGTTTTGTTCAAGGTCAAGAATAACTACCTGCGTCTCGAGATCGAGACGTTTTTGTCAAAAGCACTTCCATAGTATATATAAGGTCAAATACTGCTTCAACGAAATATGGCCATTTCGCTTGTGAAGGCAAACATTTTGTCACTTCAATCATTACTAGTTTCGAAGTTTTCTTATCTCGATTGTGAATTACCGAACGAGTCTTAACTGATGAGATTCCACTTTTAAAATATCTGCTTTTGTAACAGTATCGCCATTATAAACAATCGCATTATATATTCGGGTTTAGTTTATCACATATTGTTGATATAATACTTTGTCAGAGAGATTCTGATGACGTCACACTCATTTCACTAGAGGATAGTTCCCCGCCAAAGTCATTCACTTGCCCGACACCTGTCCAGCTCTGAAGAAGGTCACTAAAGTCGGGTGGGTGGGAAGAATTTAACATATTTCCACCATTATTGACACGTGGGTCTGTTGGACGCTCTGCTCCGGGTTCCCGCCAAAACGAATCTGGCAGCTTCCTTTGATTCATCGGCATCACTTCCTCGATCTTTTTTACATCCTGTTTCATTCGTTTCAGTTTTTTCGCTTTTAACTTTCCGTCAACAAGAAACTGCCGGAGTCCGTATTCAAACAAATCGTTAAGTGGACCTAGTCCGATCTTGGCGTCCATTTTCCCCGTGAACTTTCGTTTGCCTTGATCTAGATTAGGGGACTTTCTAGATTTACTGTCCACATTTTCCCCCTGAGCTATCCTCAAAAGATCGGCGTAGTATAGTTCCCGACCAGACTTGGTCGTTACCCACTTATCTTCATATATATCACACGAATCCTCATCTTTTTTCTTACCGAAGTATTTCTGAATATCGGTGTTCACCATTTCTGCAAAACTAAGCAGACGCTGCGTCACATTCGGTGGTTCCTCAGTGATCACGTGCATGTATGAATCGTCATCGATGAAGTCCTCCGAGTAGTGCGAATCGTGATCGCTGAAATCATCATCCTCCTCCATCTCCTCGCCGAAGCTGTCCTCCGTTGCCGCGATCGGCTTGACTAAGGGTTTTATTGTACTCTTTATGACAGACGTGGCCCCGAAGGCGTGGGCATGAAGCGGAGAGATTCTGGCTCCGTGAATAGCAGCCATTGTATCTGTGTCGTGCATGTTGGCAAGGTCAGCAGCAATCAACATCCGGGCTTGTGGGCTGGCAAGAGCGACTCATGGCTCCGGAACGGCTATCTGTAAATGATAGAGACATAACATTTTAAACTGTGATCTATAGAGCTTACTTATGTAGAAATATCACTTTTACTAAAGTAGAAATATAACTTATAATAATGATATGTGCTTTAGAAAAAATATCATTAGTTATAGTTGTAAATCATTATATTTTAAACGAGTAACTTGTTATAATGTGCTTAAGAGATGTAATCTGCCATACTCTAATTCTAAATTATGATTACGTACATAATTTATACAGTTGGCTTGTGAACGTTTTCATGAATGGCAATAATATGTCCTTATACGCTTTTCGAAATTGATGTGAAACAAAAATTTCAAAAAGTATCGAAAAAAAGTCCATAAGGAAGGTAGTGACATATGTAATAAGTCGTGGAAACAAAAGTATTGGATAATTGTAATCTAAACCTGTTTGGCCTTAGTACCACGGACCAGTGTAAATGAAATGCATTGTGCATGGTATCAAAGTCGTCTTACTAGATCGGCTAGAGGGAATCTCAATGTGGCTCAGAGCGTCGACTTGACAGTCGGAAGTCATTGGTTTTATCCCCAAAGTACGCACCTGTTGTGTTATTCATTTTTTGGCATACCGTATTTATTACCAATTAGTTGGCAAGTTGTAATCACCTGTGCATGTGTGCTATGTTCACCTTTCACTACTTTCTTCATATTACAACACAGCAATATTGACAACGTAAAATGAAACTCAATGCAAATAGTTTCAGAATATCAGTTATATAATTGAATCCATCCAATCACTGTAATTTTGGCATTAGAATAACAGCCCGTGGTATAAAAGTGATATTATGGGTCCACCCATATCATAGACCATTGAAGCTTAAAAACTTTTGCTTGTTGATGAATTGAATGATACTCAATGCAAATACATGTAGTTTCAGAATATCAGTTTTATAATCAAATCCACCCAAATCACTGTTATTTTGACTGTAGAATAACAGCCCGCGGTATAAAATTGATATAATGGGTCCACATTTATCATAAACCATTGAAGCTTAAGAACTTTTGCTTGTTAGCAAGGTTGGGTGCTAGTATTTAATAATACTGACTGATATACGCCTATGTTACCATGTCCATAACAAAAACAGATTGTGATTTTCTTCATTATGTATCCGTTAACTCGAAAAAATGATTTTCAGTCCGGAAGTATGACCTAGTTCTCATGTCGAATGTGTTCGGTACAAATCCTTCTCGTTTTGATTATAAAAAGCAAGTCATAGTGGCAGTATTTGGGTAATCCTGTGACCATATGGAACGGATTATATGTGATCACGTTATCTGCCCGTGTTTCTGGAAGTCTATAGATCGATTGACAACGTGTGTTTTACCCCTTCCCTCTGACAAACCCATGGTACGCCTTCACGTATGTGACCTCTCCCGATAACCCTGTGCTTGAAGTACTCATCTTGATAACCCTGCACGTGTTCGCCAACCCTAGGCGACCGCGCACGTGAACTGGCCTTCTACGTGTCACCCCCATGCCTTGATCAACCTTGCACCTGTTCGTCCACCCTTCAAAATCTTAGTGCCCTATTTTGTTTACTTTTAGTTACCACCCTTGGCTATGCTGAACACAACCTCCTCACCCCGATGATATTGCACCCTTGTTAGCCTTGTTCGCGAGCTACTTTTCCCGTAATCCTTTGGGTGCTTGCAAATCCATGAGATTCTCCTCACGATAGCCTTGCATAAGGAAGACTCTAGACAGCTCCTTGTCGTATATTTACAAAATTAACCTTCTCCTTCTTGAGTATCAGTATTTAAAATACACAAATGTAGGTTGATTTTATTATATTTTCGGACCGTATTCTTAATTTGTTTCCTGTTTAAAGTGAGCAAGGATAGAGTCAAGACGACTTTGAGGTTAGTATTCAACCCCATTTGCCTTGTCAACTTATCTGATCATGTTCGCAGTGCCAGAACCGAGTTTCCTACCTACCATTGGTAACTGATAACATAACTACATTCTGTCTTTGAAAAAAACCTCTTTGGTTTCTCTAAAATCGAATCCTTATAAAGCTACAACTGGAGTTGTTGGTCTTTTGTGACTAAATGAGTACTTTAAAAAATAGGTTTCAAATATCTTATCCTTAATCAGTCTTTCCTAGAAGCGTATGATAAGGAGGGTAAACATGTCCTTTTGCGCTTGTTTAAGTTTTAAAACTTGTTCCTAGGCCTACTTCCAATGTTTTTCATCAGTAAAGGTGTTTGATATAAACTTTACATAAAACGTACAGTGTAATACACTTGGTCTTCAATTGACCGTTGGCTTAGTACAAACTCGACCACATGAGCATATTGGAATAAAATCATGATGTATTTGCAATACAAAAGAAATGTGTTAGTAGCATTGTTGAATGTCGTATACAGTGATGAGCATCTTATTGTCAGAAAACATCAATTCGGACACAAGTACACAATCTATAAAAGGGCATATTAGAAAAACTAGAATCTGGGTAGTCCCGGGAATCTGTTAAATGACACTCCGGAATCCCTCTGGATTACAGGATGACAATTGTTATTAGATCTACCATGACGTGTGTTATCCGGGGACCCTCGGTATCTATTCTCCTCCTAATCCGGGAAGTAATAAGGGGTTCGTGTGTCCTAGATAAGGTGCTCTGACACTAGTGATTGACGGGGCCAGATCAAGACCCCATCATCGAACACCATACAAACTACGACAACGTCATCAGCTATAGACCAACCGCGAGTGTTCAACAAAAAGTACGCCAAACGTTTCCAGCCTTAAACATTTCCGCAACGTAATGGTTTCGGATAAAACTACCTCATAGTTACATGTTTTACGTTTGAAGTTTTAAACCCGGACGATTTGTTCGTATTTTTCATTATCAACTTATTGATGTACAGAAAAGTTTCTGTAAACCTTAGGTTAAGTACATATTTGGCTAACAAATTGACATCAAATAGAGTTGATAAAAGCTTATGACAACATAACATCAGCTCCTGTATAATTCTCAGATTTTTATTTATTTATTTATTTATTGGACCTATTTTTTGCGCAAATGAATCGATAGCGAAAGTAGCTCATTACAGTCCACACGATGCACTGTTTTTCCCTCTCAGTCTTATTTTAAAAGGAATACTAAGTAACTAGGATGGTTGAGGGCGGGGCGGGGGTTTATATATATACCGTATAACTCCAAAATGATATGTATTATCCCTTGGAAATTGATTTTTAGTTCATAGTTAACGACTATTCGTTAATTTCTAATAAAACAAAATAAGTTTGCATCAAACACAACATTTGTACTGTAATTTCATCGCCAAGCAACTTCAGTCAATTAGAAGTTAAAGTTACAAACACCGCACCAAACATTGCGGTATACGACGTCATCACTGTTGATGTCCGTGTGTTTAGGTTGTACGATATAACCAGAAAAAGTCTATCATTGGGGAATAGCCAGAATTAAACTTTATCAAAACACAATGTTCATTTTTTTCTCTTTTCTGCAAAGCATTTTCAATTTTAAAACGTAATGAATGTATAAAATAAATATATATATATATATATACAGTAATGGATCATACAAAAAACTATTTTAATAATTCTGATATTGAAATACACTGTATACACAAATAGAAAATGAGTGACACTAACGTATAGGTATGAATGTGCACTCAACGTTAAAAGCTTGTTAATATCGTTTGCCTTTTCTGTATCACAACTTGTCATCCGAGATTTCGACAACAAATGCCTCGACACCACGGCTTTTGACTACACACACTCTTCTATAGATTGGGGATATGTAATAAGCGTACGGGAAACCTGGAGCCCACTGGCCAGTGTGCTGTCATGCAAGATAGGCCTTTATTATTAAATGGACTTTGGCCAAATGTGTGTATATTTGTGTGTGGGAGAGAAACGTTTTGAGTTATATAGTATGATGCCTTATCTCGCAGCTTATCACACGATTTATCACACGTGAAAGATAGTAAATACATTTAAATGGGTTTACACTGTTCCGTAGGTGAACATAGTACAGCAGAGGTAGGTAGGTCTAATGGAAACTAGTCACTGATCAGTCTGAACAGAGACGACATCCAAACTTTAACGGTAATCACATTCACATGCTTGACAAAAGTAGCGAATCACCTGCTATGTAAACTCCGTAGAAATTCTCTAGAGATATTTTAAGCTATGCTGATACAATACCTTAAAAAATCTAATCAAAGTTGAATTTTAGGGTATTTTTCACTTTGCTTTGAACTAATATTTAAGAGTAGTAAAACGTTATTTTCATTAGGCAGCACATGGATTACTTATATAAATAGAAGGTATTTGGTCATGACACTGTGTACTTGATGTATTGACGGCCGACACACCGCTCTACATCACGTTGGCTTTGAAACATCCATGTATAGGGCATTGAACTTCCACTGGCATGATCCAGTTTTGCAGAACTAGTCGTAGAGACAGTCAGGCCAGCCATTAACCTTGCCCTAAAATGAACTAAATCTGCTAGGTTAAGGTTGTTAGAAGTTTTAGTCCCGGGAACAGTTAAGGCCATCAAATGCTATGTGGCATACGATACCTGTTTTGCAATCGGTACCACGGTCGTCTTGAAACATCATAAGTCGTAAACTGATTGCAAAGAAGTACTTTTGGACAAAATGATACATAACCGCTGAACACGATTGCAACCAATGTTCCGATTTTGACTTTACTCTACTACAAAAGTGTATAACAGCGACAGGACAACTCAGGTTCGCTGAAACAGTCGTCTAGACAACCAGATACCCGGGTCTGACCTTGACCTTGCACTAGACTGACCAGTCGCAAAGGACAGCCAGGCCAGACTTTTGACCTTGCACTGGACTGACCCAATTCTGCAGAAATGATGGTAAAGACAGCTGGATACCAGGGTCATAAACAGTGTGGTATCTGGCGTTTTACACCGAGTTCCGGCGCTTTGTGTACCGCCTGTCAGACGCGGTGGCGGTTTATCACATCGTAACTC